GAACTAACGTGTACATACGTAGCATACAGAGTTCCGTCCCTCCTCCACATGGTAACAGTGTTCCACGATCTGTCATTTCCGTCCGACTCCGTTGGGTGTCGTTCCTTTTCGTCGGTCCCCCTCGTTTCAACTCCTCCGTCATCGTTGTGACTTACCAAAAGAATGAACACTAAAAGAATGATCCTGTCGGCTATTTCGTTGCCCCTGGCGGCTTTAGGTAGGGGGAAATAACAGAAACATGCGCGAATCGGGAGTCGTTGACAACCGTCGACCAATAAAAACAATTTTATTAATAACCCCGAGTCAGGTCCACGCAGATCGTGGAGTATACTATGCATAGTTCGAATCTGCCGTGTTTTGGTGGAAAACATGTAAGGTTGATGCAACTGCATGGCTCTGCGGTGAAATCCTCCTAACCTAACATCGTAAAAGAAGTGGTGCTGAACTGAACTGTCCGAATTTCGGATTTGTGTTGATTCAAATGGGGAAACAAAGCTCTAGGATGTGCTCAGGTAAGTTTCGAATACTTCAGTTCATTTTATTTTCTCATCTCCTGGAATGAAAAAGATGTTCAATTGATATCACCGGCGGACCTATTGGATGTGTCAAGTCATCCCTGTCTCTGCACTGATTCGTAGTTTTACACTAACTTCAGGATAGAATCACAGCGTTGGCTCTGAGTGAATGATTACACCTCTTGTTTTACATTTGGATCAATACTAAAATATTAGTTTAGAAAGCGGAAACTCGTGAAATTTCGAGGCTGAAGGTTCCATAAATTGTGTAAGAGGGCAACATGCGATTCCATTGCAAAATCGCACATTTCAATGAATACTGAACCTGAAGGGAGGAAAAGTTCATGCCAGATAGGTTTACACACTGTTTGAATGCTACGGAAGATCTTAAATTCTTGTAATTGCTTACATTGCTAAATAGAGATAGCTAATTTACTGTTGCTTTCTGAAAGTGCATAAACTTATTTGGGCTTGACGAGGTAAGATTAAAATGGTGATTGCTCCTTTTCAATTATTAGCAGTTGCTTATGCTTGATCATGAAATATTTTAGTAAATGAAGAATTACTCAATGGAGATGTTGCATGTGTGAGGAATTTGCGATTTGACCGTTGTTACTTATGTAAAAGTTCGCGAGAAACACGATGGTACCACTGGTTTTCTCTGAAATCAACTCCCAAGCTAAAAAAAGCTCTCAAGTTAAGACCAAAATGGAGGGGATATCCCACCCTACCCTGAGAGTCCACATCTACATCAAAACAAACTCTCCATGCAAAGATAGCGAGCAAATACATTGACAGGGCTGCCACTTTATTTGGGGACTCCAAAACTGAAAACACGGCAACCCTGCTAACGTATCTTTTCCTGCCTATCTTTGCATGGAAAGTTTGTTTTGATGTAGAGGTGGACTCTCAGGGTAGGGTGGGATATCCCCTCCATTTTGGCCTCACTTTAAGAGCTTTTTTTGAGCTTGGGAGATGATTTCAGAGAAAACCAGTGGCACCATCGTGTTTCTCGCGAGCTTTTACACAAGAATCAGCAGTCAAATCGCAAATTCCTCACACATGCAACATCTCCGGTTATCGCAGGGTCCGGCCGTTAATTAACAAGTTCTTTTCGCTTTTTTTTCAGCTTCTCACGATCAGCGTGGCAATGAAATGTGACGCTTTCTCACGCAGCAGCAGTACTTAAGGGCTCAAAGCTGAAAAAAATCAAAGACTTGCGTCACGATCAACTTCCTGCTTATGGGAAGCTGGATGTTCGGTTTCACCTACAAAATAATAATCATTAGAAATCCAATCACAGTGATGATCCCGGGAGCAATGAGTTCCGCTGAATTCCATTGGCCCCGGCCTCAGAATGAACGCGAGGCAGCGCACCAATCACGAGCCGCGCGGGGGGCGCGGAATTCAAAACGTTCAAAACTTAGTCTCCACAGCGCCCGCCAAGTTTAAACTCGCATAGCGGTGCTCCCGCCAATTTCTCACACAGCGCGCGCGTCGATCAATCACAGCCAAGCTCGCGGCAAAGCGCTCTCACGCGACCGGTATAAGTACTGGGACGCTGCGCTCCATGAACTCACTTCTAAGTGATGCGCCGTCCGATCAACACCCAGTCTCCAGATCCAGCCAAGCAGCGAAGCAAGCTAATCAAGACCTAGGAAACGAAGACTCAACCAAGTTCAAGCAGCAGCCAGAAAGGAATCTCGAACCCAAGTCAAGAATCAAGTTCCTCGAGCAAGGTCAAGGAGCGAATTTGGCGAGCAAGTTGAATCAACTCATCTATAGCGATTGGAGCGGCTAATCTCTCAGGGTCATCACGAAATCAGCTTTAATATTCCACTTTTGGCAGTCCTATCTAAATTCACCCAGGAGAAATTTCAAGACATCTCTAACTAAATTCACGTTTGTATCAAATCCTCCAACCGGAGAAGCCGATTCATTTATGAATCCGGAGTAAAAGTAAGTGCAATAGCACAGAGTAGTATTCAAAATGTCAAGTCCTTCTGACTTTCCTGCGCAAAGCAGAAGCCGGCGCATTACGTGCCTGGTGGCCCTTCAGGTCTCCTACCCATGGTAGTAGCCGGCTCACTTTGAGCCTGGTAAAAATAAAATCACCTAGGACAGGATCCTTCTGATCAATAAAAAATAGTCTCTCACTTGAAAACCGCATATATTATTCCATTTTCTCTTTCTTTTCGATCCTTTCATTCCTTGATCTCTCCGTACAATCACCTCCAACCTCTTAGCACCTCGCACATGTTTCTTCACCATTTTTGAGCCGTCATCCCCTATTCTTTGGTCCCTCGGAAACTTATCACTTTTTGGCTACACTCATTTTTTCTGGTATTTTTTTGACCCGCTCAATCCTTATACTGGAGAAATGGTCATTAACAGAAATCGAACGACTGCTTAGCAAGCTGGTTGTTGACGGATTCTTGTATGAAGTGTACAAATTAATTCACTCACCAAGTTTATGTCTGAAAAGTTTTTTTAACAAAAGTATTTTATCTTAGTACTTAAAAGTATTGAAATTTAAATTTTTTTCCCCTTGTTTTATTATATGTTTTAAGTAGGTTGTTTGGATATTCAATTCTGGTTATTTAGTTTTTAAAATGCTTTCTAAAATTTTCGTCGGATTGTAAGGCTTTTTTCCTCGGTTAATAATTAGTTCGGATAAATGAAACAATGCTATTCGGTTGTAAAATTATGTGTTCTAAAACTTTTCTTCTTAGGAATTTTGTCTGAAAACGGACTCTAAACGAGATATTCGTGAAAAACCGAGCGCGGGCATGAATTCTCTATTGCCTCTCTGCGGTCTTTTCGAGTGCTTGGGACACACGCTCTCTCCCCTTCCCCGCCCGCCCATCATGGGGCTCCGAGAGACTTGCTTCGCTCCGCCAGCACTAAACCGAGCCGGACGCACGGTCTACGTGATTCAATGTCTTTGGCAACAAAGTATTAAACAAGCCAAATCATGAAGGCAACACCATTGTCAGTTGCTTTTCTTTGTTGAAACTACTGAACTTTCTCTAATCTAACCAAGAATGAAAGGCAAATTAAGTAAAGCATCCCAGGCGCTTGCAAATGAAAAAAGAAAATTAATGTTACAAATACTTTCTGTCCAACGATCGCAGATTATTCGACGCCTGTAAATTTCGAAAAAAGGCCGTATCCCTGGAGATGGCCCTTTTTCAATTCCTTCAGTCATAAGTAACTTTCCCCTATGTCACTTCTAATTCCCTTATTACTTTCTGCCTCCAGATTCATCTCTCGTGAAGTAGTCCATAAGTAGTCTTCTGTGATGTCATGGAGACAGACTAGATTCCAAGAGCAGTGGCTGCAAAATCCTGAGTTTGCAGAATGGCTGGAAAAAGTTGACAATAGTCATTTACACGTAAAGAATTCGCGATTTTTTACTTATAGAAAATCAGGAAAAAAATTCAGGAGGAACACTTAATATGTAAAAAATCATAGATTTTGTACGTAAAAAAAGGTCAGAAAGAAATTCAAGGAAGACAAATTTTTTTCGTTTTGAAATTACGATTTTTACGTTCAAAACTGTCGTCACTGAATTTTTTTCTGACTTTTTGACGTGAAAAACTGTTTTCCTTTTTTCCTCTTTGAGCATCTATTTTTTTTGTATAAGTTTTGGGAACACCCAAAAAATTGGGGTGTGCCGTTATTTCCCGACCTTCCTTAGTGTAATTTCGTTCTGGTGCATCTATCTTCCAATTTAGTGTGGTACTCCTGTTGAACAGCTGCCCCGTCCGTCAGGTGCTGCTTGCAGCGGACGCCGAGAGTACTACACTATCTTGTTTCGCTTGTTTACCTTTCGAGTTCTCGGATGATTTTGCGAAAAACCTTGAACTTTGGTCGGTTGGTCGGGAGCCGGCACAGATTTTTCGTGTGCGCGAGAGGCCAGCCTTCGGGCAGGCCATCATTTTTCTCTTGATTTTTCATTTGATGCGCTGAGATCGCAAGTGCCCTGATTGCTGACTGCTGGCGACCTGAAGCTGCCTCATGGACCTTAGTTCCAGATTCATTTTCTTGATTACAACTGTAATTTCCCCAGAGTTGGGTAAGTCTAATGTGACTTGTTGCCAATCCTCTTGGTGCACTTAGGCCAATTTCTAGAATTATGTAGTACGTGTAGCCTACAGTGCCAGGTTAGGTAGCGCATGGAGAGCGCTGACCAGTTGCCTTGGACATTATTGTTTTTTGACTAAGCAAATATCAAAGTTGAGACATTTCGAGCTGGGCCCGAATACAAGTTCTACCAGTTTGATTACTCCATTTTCCAAATTATGATTCAAGCTCTTAAAGCTCCCCAAGTTAACAATCGCAGGGCTGAAAGCCAAAGCGAGACTCCGCTCTTCCAGCGTGGAAAAGAGGAATTTGTATCTTCTATGTAATCCTCGCATTTCATTTTCAGGTCGTAGGCAGACCCTAGCGTTAAGTATTTTCCTGTTGTATTTTCTTTTAGTCTTTTGTAGTTTAGCCCCTATGGCAGAAGTGATATGCTTATCAGCACATGGCCTTAAGCCTAAATTCTCTGTTATCAGCAACTCGACACCTAAGTACCACAAAGCCCCTAAGGCAAAAGGATCTCTATTTGTACTTTTATTATTCTGAATGTTGCATAAGAATCAGGCAATCAAATTTTGTCAGCGTAAAGTTTTTTCTAGTCAGTTAGAGTCTAGTCAGTTAAAGTCGAGTCTTACTGTAACTTGTGAAGCGAACAGAGTTATTTTTAGCTATTATAATGTGCGTTGCCCATAAGGCCTAGAAAATCAGTTAGGTATGTTTTGCCTGAGCTTTGAATTAAACAATGTGGGAAATGTTTCACCACAGGGTTCCAGTTCCGGTTCCAGTTGCAGTTCCAGTTCTGAGTTCTAGTTCTGGTGAAGCTCCAGTTCCAGTTTGATGCTTCGAATGATGCTCTTACCCGGACAGTTTATCCCACCAGTGCATTATACAATCTCCCAGTGTTGAACTTTTGAATGCTGCACTTACCGAGCCAGTTTCCAGCTGCCTGTTATCGTGAGCTACCCCTCGCCTTTTGTTAAGCCGATTATGGCCGTGTTGATTTAGTATCTTGCGTTTAAGTGGGAAATTTCTTTAAGTTGTACTGTAACTGGTACTGTACTGAATTTCCTTGGAGAGAATTAAAGTTAGATATCTTTCCAATAGAAATATGTGTAGCAATGGAATTGCCTAGATATCTGTATCATGAAATGTATATGAAACGTGTATGAAATGTGTATGAAAAATAAAGCTAGATATTTTTCCAAAGAAAAATATTTGTAGCAGGGGGAGAATGTCTGCGCTGAAAATTCGCTAAATTGACCAAACAGGAAAAACCTTTACGGTTTTTTTTACAAGGAAATTAAGCAAAAAATTCTAATGTCCCCTAAAGATTTTTTATAAAAAAAGTACCTATAGTCCGAAAACTGGATGCAAAAACACGTTGTTCTGAATGAAGAAACCAGAGTTTTTAAAAGTTCGAGAAGATTTTAATAACTTATCTTTATTAAAATAGTTGAGACATTCTTATAAAAAATTGATGCATGTTGTAATCAAATTTAAGAAAAGAAAAAGAACAAAAGGGGGACAAATTATTAAGATGCACTTAATTTTTTTCACATATTCATAAACAACAAAGGTACTTTTGAAAGTAGATATACCATCTTTAAAATATCCATGATAAATATTAGTTTTTGCCTTCATCCACTTTTTCCAAATTCAAAAAATATTCAGCAATTCGTTCTCACGCACATGCGACGATAAAAATATTCAGAGCAACTTCGCCCCTTTCATACAGAAGCCTCGTTTGCTCAGTAGATAGCGCATTCCAATCCTGATAGGCAGGTCTTAGGTTCAATTCCTGACAGAGAGATAATAATTTGAAAGTTGATCTCAAGGAGAATTAATTGACGATAGATCCAGGTATGTAAAAAGTCTGCATTAATCTTTACGATTTATCATTTTATTGAATTTAAGAAAGCAGGAGTTTTTTTGCGCAGAACTTTTTACATAAAGAACTCGATTTTTTAACGTAAAAAATCGTGTACTTTTTATGAGTTATTCTTGTACAAAAGACTACATCGGCATTTCACTTTTGGTATATTATACATCTTTTTTTACGAATTTTTTTTTGGTAAATTTTATATTTGTGTGCTACTTCGGTTGTGCGATGGATGCGGAGGATTTAGGACAATAAATAATTTGGAGCTTAATAACGCTGATATATCGTGTTTTTTTTTTTAAATCAAAATTTAACACACGTAAGAAGTATTCGGATCTTAGTACAGGGTTGTAAAAGTGGCACAAAACTGTTTCCATACTCAACTCCCACCCAGTGCTAAGTAATTTTAAATACTTCCTCTAAGTAATTTTAAATACTTCCTCTACCCTAGGGTAGTGAGAAAGTAAAAAAGGGCGCTGGACATCAGACGTTCTCGCAAGAATCGCAAAAATTTGCCCCCAAGTAATTACTTTGTCCCCCCCCCCAAAAAAAACCCCTGAAATTAGAGTGAAACATTATTTCAGACTTCTAGTGAAACAAAAAAAATTATTTTATTTCTTTAGAGGTCTCAATGAAAGTTAGGTATCAGCGGAAAAAGGAAAATGATGGACATCGGACGTTTTCGAATGATTTGAGATCGCCCCTCAAGAAATATGTTCAGGACTGCATAGGATGCATAAAATCGATTGCAATTATAGGAAGTAAAGTGAATCAGTTTTACACAAAATAAAAGTTGAACTCAGAGATAAAAAAACGAGCAGGGTCTTGCCTGGGCCGGGAGGCAGCACTGCATTATTTTCTTAGAAAGTAATTTACTTTTGCTTTCTCTCCCCCTATACGTTAAGGCAAAATTCTCTCAAATGTCTGTTTACTAGTTAAACCCGTCCCCTCTGTATCCTTCTTGCAAAAAAAGGGGGGATGGCCATGCCCAGAGGGTAATGAGAACTCATTAAATTTTATTGTTTAGGTTTTATGTTTGTTAGTATAGTATAGTATAGTATAGTATAGTATAGTATAGTATAGTATAGTATAGTATAGTATAGTATAGTATAGTAGCATAGAATTATGTTTGTAGTATTTTATGGTTGTTATTGTTTTATTTTATTGTTAGTTACTCTAACTCATCTTCTGCCCTGACAACTCTTGAAAATTGTAAATCCATTCTCCCTTTGAATATTTTTCTTGTAAATTTTATAACAGAGCTTAAATTTTTCCTGTATATACTCCTATTAAAATCCCTTTGATTTTAAAATGGGCAGGGAAACTAGGTATTACATCAGTTGGTAGCATGTGTCAAGTAGTGCATATTGGCACTACTAGGTGTCACAGCCTGCAGGGCAACCTTGTAGTTGTGCTTATCAACACACCCCGTTTTTGCTCGCGCAAGCCTCATTCACTTTCTCTCTTTTCATCATCCTAAGTTTTTAGGATATAACAGCAAGTGCGTTCGAATCTCCTAGGTGTCCTGCCGCGCCCGCTGCAGAGAACAGAGGATTCTCATATCCCCTATTTTTACAAATAAAATGGTTTTCATCAGTTCATAACTTGCCGAAATATTGCGCTGGAAGTCTGAAACTTCGCACAGGCATTCTTCACGGCTCCAGAATTCGAAAAAAGCGTTTTCCCTAATAATAGCGGATGGCAGCGACCGCTATTGTTACATATAAGTCCTCAAAAATGGAACATCCGATGAAAATAGATGTCACTAACCTAAAGCGCATTTTCCCCTACCTAAATGGTAACAATGTTGCCGATATCAGATATAATGGTGAGATGGATGATGACTTGTATGTGTACTGTGACACTAACTACGCAGAAGATGAGATTGATAGGCGCAGTACCATTGGTTTAGTAATCATGTTCAAAGGCGAGCCGGTTCTAAGGCAGCACTGTCGCCTAGCTGTCCAGGGATGTCGGAGTGGCATCTCCCGATGCACGTTGCTATCACGTCCTTCGTCTACTGAGTATCTTATCTCGTGTTCAACCCTCTGCTCCCTTCAAGGGAAGACCCTAACAGTGTTAATGACGTCTCAGAATTACAATAGCTGTTGCAAAAGAGGCTTGATCCTTTGACAAAGATTGCAATTAAGCAGCTTCATATTTAACAGAACTGGACTAATTCAAAATTTAGAGTCTAGCTTTAAAAGATTTAACATTAAACCATACTCAACACATAAATAAATCAAAGTTTCATCTAATGCATGTGCGCAAAAGCTGATGGCAGTTGATAGTGACATACTCAAAATCAGCCGTAAAGAATAATGCTGAGTTTCCAACTTATTATTCCAATGGAATCCACTTTCATGATCTTGAGTCTACAAATTATGTACCTACTCGATTTCACATTGAAATAATACTGAGTAATGCTCCGCTGTTCAAAATACCAAGGTAGTGGTACAGTCAGTAAAAAAATTAGAGCCACTGTTGTACAACTATCACTAAACATATGCTGTAAATGACGGTCGCTGGAAGGTATGTTTTCAGGAATCCAGCAGCTCTGCATTAAACCAAAATTATAAATTATTAGAAAAATGATGAAACTGAAAGAGCTCGCTGCAAGAGCTTTCTTTATAAAAGAAATTATATTAGGGCTAAATACAATAAAATAAATTCCTATCAGCAAACATACTGTCATGTTATTGAATAGTGCAGTAAATGCAAAATGAAGTTTTGAGAAGAAGAGCTTAATAGCCTTGGAGCTGGAGCGAAGAATATGTCGAAGAGAGAAATATTGAATAGAGACTAAAATATAAAATTTACAATACATACCAGAAAAACCAGCGGCGCTCCGCTTCGCTACACGCAGGTTTTTGGGCGGCCTTTGCCCCCCCCTCCCCCCAGGCCTCATCCGTGATCACCCCCTGGCCTGACTCGGGCCAGGGCTGACCTTCCTCGCCCCCGCCATTTTTAAACGGCTCAGCCGATTTATCTCAAATTCAGCACCAAATCAGTCCTAACAAAGAACTCCCAACCATGAGAATTTCAGCTCAAAATATTCATTTTATCGAGTGGACAAGATTTGACCACCCACCACTTTCGAGCCCCACCCCTGAAAAGCTATTGCTTCAAATTTCAAATTATATTCGCACAATAGTAGCTCTAATGAGGCTCTATAAAATGCAAAAGATTTGGTTAAAATATCTTGCAACGTAAAAGATATAACTTGCAAATCGAAAATAAAACAGCACTTAAATATATTAAATTGATAAATGTAAAGAAAATATATCTAAAGTAATTTGGGGGTAATAGGCCGTATGCAATAAAAATCCCACGTAACTTTTCGCGTAGAATCCAAATACCCTTTCCATCTGAAATTTTTGACTTACGGCCCCCCAAAGCCCCAAAATTTTTCGGAGGTCGTGGCCCCTATAATTATAGATCAATAGGGATCACGTGGCACATCGATAAGAAGATAATGACCTCTTCTTTCAGAAGAATTTTAAATTTTGAAAATCGGATAATTTTAACACCTACAGTGTCCAATAAAAATTTGCCCAAAAAATGCCCCCAAGTATCTCGTAACTCCAAAAAATGGGAGTTTAGGGGAAAAAAGCACAGAACAAGAAGTTCTTATTTTTGGCCGTAGAGTTTAAATCCGAAGTCAAAACATGACCTTCCTATTTGAAATGCGTGAGAAACGGGGGCTGCCCCCGTTAACCCCCCTCCCATGGGGTTTTGGGGGGCTGACGATGTTTTCATGGAATTTTTTGGGGTGGATTTACACCAACTAGTTTTCATCCCGAAACTCAACTTTCGGCCGTTCCGAGAAAGAGATAGTGGACGGGTGCTCTGGAACACCTGGTATACATTAGTGCTAGCCGTTATTGGCTCGCTTTGCGATACGTCACACCTAGCCGGAAAGGGCCCCTTGACCCCCGGTTCCTCCTTTCGAGATGATCTTTTATAGCCGCCTTCCATAGCTACAGTGAAAGTTCGTTAAACCAACGCTTATGGTGAACATCAGATTAAGTCGATATTTTCTTCGGTCCCGGGAAGCTTCCTTAAGGAACAATGTTAAAAAACAGCGCTTAAGTCGAATTAAAGATTTTTCTTGCCGGGTGAAAAGCAAGAAAATGTTTTCGAGAAAACGGAACATTTTCGGGTTTTTACGAGGAAAAAGGCGAAAAATAAGCAACACTGACGAAAGAAAAGTAAAACAGATAATGTTTTCGTGGCTATGTACTTTTATACATGAAGGCGGTGTAGAAGTGACAAATGTTGCTTGATGGGTTTGAAAATTGCCACATTTGGTAGTTTTTCTTCTTCTTTTTTTTTCAAGTTTGGCTCACTTCACTCTTTCTTGAGATTTGATTAAATGTAAAAAAGTTAAAAAAGATAAATAAGGAATTTTAAAAACTTCAAAAAAATTCAAGAAGCGCAAGAAGAATTTACTAGAAGAATTAGACATTTTAAAGGGTTTTCACTTCAAAAAATGGCAACGTCGCACATCGGCAGCCAAAGGTGAAAAAACGGCTCGTGTTGGACACTTTACTGCTATGTGTAATTATTTCAACGTAAATGAAACGTAAGGGACCCCTAGTTCACGAATGATTCAGTGATAAGATGCATTCACATCGACTGACTCTGACTCTCATTTAGGCTGGTTTTTGTTCAGATTCCGTCGATTCCATGATCGTGGTAAAATAAAAACCAAATTTTTGTGTCTATCAAAAACTGCTAAAACCGCGCAAAAGCCCTTTAAAGCCAAGTAAACCCAGAAAACTACACATCATTAGAAAGCTATATTTAAGAGGAATATTTTAAAAAAAAGTTCATTGAGATCCAGCACGAAAATGAATTGTTGAAGGTTTCCACTTTAAAAATGGGAGCGTCGCAACCCGGCGCTTCTAAGCAAAACAGCGACAAGTTCTGGGCGTCTCGAAAGATACTGTATCACCCCAAGTGTTCAAAATTCGAAAATGCCTTGAGGCATTTTTGCCGTTTTTTCACACTCCTCTTTCTACAATTTTCACGCTAATTGCAAGTTAAGCGGAGAAACGAATAAGTCGAATAGCCGCTAATGTCGAAATTTTCATTGGTCCCTCGACAATTCGACATGACGAACTTTTACTGTATAAACCTATGAGAGGACAATGTCTTCGTCTTTTTTTTCATCGAATCGCACGAAAATCGATGGAGCAGGAGCCGAGAAAGAAATTAGAGGCATGATCACCATCCTGGGTTTTGGAATTTTGAAAATTTTTCAGAAAATTCACGTTCCCCATCAAGGAATACCTCCCCTTACCAAGTTTCACAAAAATCGATCGAACAGGAGCCAACACAATATTTTACACCACGGCCGCCATCTTAGATTTTGAAATTTTGAAAATTCGGGTTTCCCATCGAAAAATACCCGCTGCCATAGAGTTTCACAAAAATCGATCACTAAGGGGCTGACACAGCATCTTCGGCCAGGGCAGCCATCTTGAATTTTATAATTTTGTAAATCTGACAATAAATTTGAGTTTCAATCGAAAAATGTCCTCCAAAACGGACTTTCACAAAAATCGATTGAGCAGGGGACGAGATGGCATTTAAGACCACGGCCGCCATCTTGGATTTTGGAATTTTGAAAATCTGGGATAATAAAGGAGAAAGAAAAAAGAGGAAAAATCAAAGAAGCATACGATCAGTGAGGTGAATGACTCATAGGATGGAACATAAACATACAGTTAAAAATGGAAGACAGTCTTGAGGAGATACTTAGGTGCAGGCAGGCTACCAATAAGTACGTGACGGGAGTAAAGGGATGGAAAAGTTTGCGAGGGAGGCACACAGTTGGAAAGTCGAACGCGATGGAGGCAGGAAACACAGGACACGAGGTGGCGTTGCTGTGACGTCACGCGACGCGATTCAACCTCTTCAGTGCGGTGCAGTTAGACAACCTCGTATTTCCAATGCATTACTTTACGGAGACACAACTTTTCGCTCTTGCGGGCGTTCTGAACAACTTCTCACTGAGGCTATATGTTTTTCTACTCTTTTCGACCATATCAAGGCGTAAGCAAAGTTTAAGGAAACTCGCTTCCGCCAATTTTTTTTAGGGGGGCAGAGTGAGCCAGTGCGGCAGCTTTCTAAAGAGTTATAATAAATATATGTATGTATTTCCACCTCAAAAAGATTTTCCGATTTGTGATTTGTTAAATCTTTTATGTTGCAAGATATTTTTGATGGATTGATTAGATTATTTTACCAAATCTTTTTGCATTTTATAAAGCCTCTTCAGAGCTACTATTCTGCCAAAATAAAATTGAAAGAGGCAATAAAGTTTGAAGGATGGAGTTCGAAAGTGGGGGGAGGTCAAATCTTATCCACTTGATAACTCAAGTTGAAATGAATATTTTGACCTGAAATTTTTATGGACTTTTTTTTTTATTTTCCTAGAACTGGTTTGTTATTGAATTCGTTTACAAGTTTTTTTCTGTGCTATAAGGGATTGATGCAGTTTTGTGTGAAACAACCGCAATTTCGCTACTATCCCAAGGTTACTTAGAAGAAAAATTATACAGGGTGATCCAAAAGTCCCTTCCACGCTCTCTAACTTTTCACCTAATTGAGGTACAGATTTGAAACTTGGGGGATGTTCCTAGGTCAAAGGAAGCTACTTTTTGGCCCCCCTAAAATTTTCAGGGCCCCCCTCCTTGGGAGGGGGGGCAACGGACCCCAACTTTTAATTTTCAAATGGGAAGACCCCCTTTGTGATAGCTCGTTCGAAAGAATATAAAAAGAGAAAACTTTTCGCGCAAACCCGATGTCAATATCTCAAACCGTTTCAAAATGGCGGCCGGTTAAAGTTCAAAATGACCGAAAATTCACACCGGTTATTTGTCAATGGATTTGCGCGAAAATCGATATGTGGGGGTATTTTGACACGAGAAAAACGAATTTGACGTTAGATTTTCAAAATAACCGAAATTTCCAAAATGACCGCCGGTTAAAGTTCAAAATGACCAAAAATTGATTTTTTTAGAAATCTGAGTTCAAATGTGTTAATCTTATGCCAAAATACTCTCAAATTCCAAATTTTAGGCAAATCCGTCAGCAAAAAACCGAGGTGACGATTTTCGGCCATTTTAAACTTTAACCGGCGGTCATTTTGGAAATTTCGGTTATTTTGAAAATCTAACGTCGAATTCGTTTTTTTTGTGTCAAAATACCCCCACATACCGATTTTCGCGCAAATTCATTGACAAATAACCGGTGTGAATTTTCGGTCATTTTGAACTTTAACCGGCCGCCATTTTGAAACGGTTTGAGATACTGACTTCGAGTTTGCGCGAAAAGTTTTCTCTTTTTATATTCTTTCGAACGAGCTATCACAAAGGGGGTCTTCCCATTTGAAAATTAAAAGTTGGGGTCCGTTGCCCCCCTCCCTTCCCAAGGAGGGGGGGGACCTGAAAATTTTAGGGGGGCCAAAAAGTAGCTCCCTTTGACCTAGGAACATCCCCCAAGTTTCAAATCTTTACCTCAATTAGGTGAAAAGTAAGAGGGCGTGGAAGGGACTTTTGGATCACCCTGTATATATTTCCAGTGATGCAGAAAAGGTGGAAAAAGTTTTACCTTTATTCCTTAATGCCAATGATCATTTCGCGCCTAAGCGCATCATCAGGGTGTAGATACCGTAATCATATCGAGTTGAGGAAATGCACGTCACAAACATAAAAATTTGTTAACATTTTTAAAAAATGTTTTCGTACAATACACGTAAAAGGTATCCCGTAAAACACTTATTATAACAAACATAATGAATAACGAACGAATCGAAAACTGAGATTCCGCAAACGCGCTCTAAGTTAACACCAATATCACGCGTTCGCGGAATCTCGGTTATCGATTCGTTCGTTCTTCATTGTTTGTTAAAATAAGTGTTATATGGGATACCTTTTACGCGTACTGTACGAAAAAAGTTTTTAAAAACTTTGACAAATTTTTATGTTTGTGACGTGCGTTTCCTCAACGCAATATGATTGCGGTATCTAAGCCTTGATGATGCACTTAGGCGTGAAATGATCATTAGCATTAAGGAATAAAGGTAAAAATTTTTCCACTTTTTTTGCTCTCACTGGCAATAAACAAGGTGTCCCAAAAGTCCGTAACCCCCCTCGTAACTTTTGAACGGTTAAAGATAATAAAACGAAACTTTGGGAATGTTTTTATCTTAAAAAGGACCATCTTTTGGGGGGTCAAAATTTGTGTCCCCCCTCAGGGGGGGACACAAATTTGGCCCATTTCGCGAGAATATCGTATGACTTTTAAAATGACGTATTTGGGGGCCCGAAACCCCCCTTAAATTAGTTTGAAGCAATTTCTGTGATTTTTACTTGAAAGTGCTTACAATTTGGTAAATTCTCCCGTTTTATTTTTTCTTTGCGATAATTTGAACCGGAGATATGATTTTGTGAAAAAAGGTCAAATTTGACCTTTGACCTATCATAACTCGGTCAAAAATTAAGATATTGATTTGCGGTTTGCGCCAAAATTCTCAGTTTTTTATGTTCTTTTTAATGATGTATCACAAGATAGGGGTTACCATTTGAAAAAAAAAGTCGGCCCTACCCACGAGGGGGGAAGGACAAAAATTTTGACCCTCGTAGAAGATGGTCCTCTTTAAGATAGAAACATTCCCAAAGTTTCGTTTTTCTATCTGTAACCGTTCAAAAGTTACGAGGGGGAGGTACGGACTTTTGGGACACCCTGTATATGATTTTTCTTCTAATTGACTCATAAGTGATGTAAAATGCAATCTTCCAATTATCCCAAGGTCTTGCTTTTACTCCCATGAGACTAATTTTGTGGTTTAGCTGAATCAGTCAGTTCATCTAAATTCAGGAAGTACAATAGCTATGTATTGGAATGCTTCTTTAAAGTTAATCCTTGAATGGTGTTTTCCAAGTCTACTGTTTGCCATAAGGAAGAATCGTAAGGGAAATATGCAGCAAATTTCAACATGGTGGCTTCTGAAAGAAATGTTGGCTGCGAGTGGTTTTCAGGATTTATTAATTTAAATCGATAACTCTTGGCGCCAATTTTGGCAGATTGTGCTGACCAGAGTCATAACAAATTAAAAATGCAAAAAACTCCCAATTTTTATGAAATAAATTTTACACTAGTATATTCTGAAGGAAGACTGGAGCTGGGACCCCGCACGTACGGCGTTGCCAGTCGCTGCATACTAGACTCAGAAGTACGGGACAAAACAATCTCAAGAAGTGACTTCATTGGCGCTCCACTATAAAGCAACTCTAGGGTGCTCTATGTTTAAATTAGATACAACGAATTTTCAAGAAAAAATGATTGCGAAAATTTGAGCATTACCTACTGCTTTGTTTGATAAAAGAACAGAATAATCATTTTTTCTGCTTTTCTAAGTTTCAGATTATAATCACTAATTAGATTTGCTTTTTTGGGATTTCAGGGAAAGCATCTTTTAGTAGGTCAGCTTATGATTGACGATGATCTTCTCTCAAGCTCTTGGTTATGAAACAGAACAGGACCAAACAACAGGTCCAGATTCAAAATACAGGTCTCCAACTGTCGGAATACATTAGTCACGTACCCAATGGAGTTAAAAAGCTCTTGACAACTAATTGCTGTATAGATTGGTGCCCCAGGTGAATACTTTTTTTTAATGACTGGTTTAGGGAAAATTGTACCATACATACCCGACAGACTTGCCATGCCATAAGATGAAAATGCCTACTTTAAACATATTCCAATTATTCTGCTTGTTGTATTCCATCAAACATAAAGCCGTCGCAACATGAGAATGGCAGTTATCACAAATTGTATGCTGAAAACAAAAATGATAATCATTGAACCAAGGATACACTCAGACCAATTTCAAAATTATGGGATATCTCAAATTCAGAGTCAGTACTGCTTTCAGATCAGACAGAAAATTGATAGCAAAGCAAATTGGAATAAAATGTTTCATGGAGTCTTTTTTTAAAAACACATAGATGCCTGATCCTTTAGTGCTGACATTTACAAGCGACTCAATTCTGTTTTTTATCCTTACTTTCCCTCCGTACTAATGATTCCACTATATACTCTATTTCCAACTAGCGAAGAGCCCGTGACTAAAGTGACACGTCTAGATGCTCCGCAGTTAAATATACTTATTGATCATTACATCCATTGATTGCGTCAACAGGATTCACCATGTCAATAGACCGCGATCGTTTCCATCAACCCTCTCTCTTCTTCTTGTGCTTTTCTTTTCTGTTACTCCTTTTAGTGTATTTTCCGAAGGAAATACACTATTGCATTCTCCCATGATGTCGGACCCAGACCTGAGACATTGTAAAGAGCACCGATCACGGGTCGTAGATCACGAAAATATATGCTATTCAAATTCATGTATATATATATATATGTATGTATGTATGTATGTATGTATTTCCGCCTTTTGAAGATTTTTCGATTTTTGAGTGGTTATATCTTTCTTACGTTGAAAGATATTTTGACCAATTTTTTTGCATTTTGTAGAGACTCATTAGGACTACTATTCTGCGAAAAAAAATTGAAATTTGAGGCAATAGATTTTGAGGGGTGGGGCTCGAAAGTGGGGGGAGGTGAAATCTTGTCCACTCGATAACTCGAGCGAAAATGAATATTTTGAGCTGAAATTTTCATAGGTGGTAGTTCTCCCCTAGGACTGGTTTGGTATTGAATTTGAGCTAAATCGGCCGAGCCGTTTAAGAATGGCGAGCTTTGAAAGTTTTAGGCGAGGGGTGCGCGGCATGAGGGGAGCCGACCGGAGCAGGGCCGCACAGTGGGTCGGGGGAGAAAGTTTTTGGACAAGCTGATCGTCGCACAGTGGGTCAGGGGGAAGAAATTTTTGGACAAACTTTTCGTCGCACAGTGGGTCAAGGGAAGGAAGATGCTGGATAAATTGTTCGTCGCACAGTGGGTCAGGTTAAATGATCTGTTCTTGAACAAAATCTCACCATTTAACCGTCACAACCTTTCGCAGCGCGTTCGCTGGCAACGTACGCAACTACTATCTTGTGCTCAAGAAATTAATTCATTCCCTTACAGATTGATCCCCCCCCCCTTCGGAAAATACACTCTTCCCGCGGTGGACGCGCGGGTCGCTTAAGAAGACAGAACAACTGGAATGGACACTCAAACTAAAAAGCGCGCGCGAAGCGCGCGTCCTGGGGGGGCTTGGGGGGGCGAAGCCCCCCCAAAAAACCGGCGCGGAGCGAAGCGGAGCGCCGGTTTTTTCTCTCTTATTTTTCCTCAAAGACACTATTCTTTTTCTAAAAACATACAACTGTTGGGTCTTATTGTCGCCAACCTACATAAACCTTTTTGAATGTTTTCAGAGTCTAAATCTCTTTCCTTCCTCCTTTCTCTCTTCTTCCTTTCTTCTAAAATCTAAATTTTCCTTCATCCTATTCGTCCTCTTCTGCATTCTTCACTTGTCTTTGTCTTCTTGTTCTTACTATTTTCTATTTCTATTCCTTACATTTTTCATCTTCTTTCTCTCTCTCTCTTTCCTTCTTCTACCTCTACTTCTTCCTGCTTCTTTCCCTGTTTTTCGTAACGTTTCTCTTTTCTTCATTTCTTTTTTCATTGCATCTTTTTCTTCTTCCTCTTATTTTCTTAAGTTGAGAGAAGTTTTGAATTCAACTAGTCTATTTCCTCTCAAAGAAAATTCCAAATCGAGAGCAAATGTTTTGGAAGTGTAAAAAGCCATTCAAAGGAGGAGTATCGTTTTGGGCCTTTTCCGGCCCCACCTGGATTTTGCTGAATGTTTCATATTTTCAAAGTACTAGTCCTAGGTAGACTTTAATCTAAATATTTTACTGAACGGAAGCCCATGCAAAGGTGCAACAACGCCTCGAACCCAGAATCTTGGCATCGAAAAATAGTTATTTTCGTCGACTTTTTCGACTGTTATCACTCTTCCAGCAGATGATTCCTATGTATTTTTTGCGTACATTCCGTTTCTGGCCTTTTAAAGGCCTCCAATAAATTTAGAGGGGCCTTATGGCCAATTGTTGCCATTTTTGCCCATTTTTAGGGGTTTTCCAATTTTACACACGCAGAAATCAATTCAAACTAAAAACCGTATACGTTTTTGAAAAGGACGCAAAACAATGAATAAAAAATGTTCTGTACAACTTCTCTCTACGTTGCCAAATTTTCGATAAAAATCGTTTCAAAGAGCCGAAAATGGCAAAAATTCGATTAATTGCCACGCTCAAGGTTCAAGAAAGTGGGGTACAACTATTATATCGACGTACGTAACAGCTCTTACCTATATATACAACATATCAAAAAATTATAGTTGTACCTGGATTCCCACGATGTGAAAATTGACTGGGATGTCGATTTCAGCGGCCTTTTTTTACTTGAAGGTAGCTCTTTTGAATGTTTTTTGACCTTAGTCACCCCCCCCTGGGTATGTACTATCTGTATTTTTCACATCTGGCCATAAAAATGGCTTCCTGTGAATTTTAAAAGGCCTAACGGTCCACTGTTGCCAATTTTCACCAATTTTCAGGGGTTTTTTTAAGTTTACGTGTGTGAAACTTAATTTAATCTAAAAACCGTGTGCATTTTCGGAAAGAACGTAAAAAAACACATGTGAATAGTGCTTTGTAACTTTTCCCTACGTTGCCAAATTTTCGAGAAAAATCGTCCTAAAGCGCCAAAAATGCCAAAAATTGGAATCCAGGAGGGGAGTCCAGGAAGTGAATTTTAAGTTTACTTTCACAACAAATAACGTATCGAAAATGGAAAATTGCAATGCGTCTCACGGAACATGTGGATTGCATTTTGCAAAAAGGAACCACTAGCAATGCAATGTTGCTGAGATTGTGCAACTTCTTTTGTCTTGGAGGAAAACCCCGATTTTCCATTAATAGTTTCTATTTTACTCGCTAAAAACTGTAAATTTAAGACAAAAATTACCATCTAAATTTCATTGTTTTTCACGATTTTCGCAATTGTATTGCAAAAGATGAAGTTGCACAATCTTAACATCATTGCAATGCTAGTGGTTCCTTTTTGCAAAATGCAATCCATGTAATGGCTCAGGTGAACGTGACAAAACGGATCCTCCAGGTGCTTTTACCTTATCCTTCACTCCAGTTCACCTCTTTATTCCTGTAACCTCGAGGTAATCCTTGGTTCTTAAGATGCCTGTTACAGGCAAAATATAGATACTAAACAACAGAAACTGCGTGGGGAAAGTGTCCCACGATCCACCTGAAAGTCATAATTCACTTCCTACAACCTTCGACGTGATCAGTGGCGTAACGGACTTCCGCTGGGCCCCCCTGCAAAATTTTTTCTAGGGGCCTCCCATGTCGATAAAATTCCAAAATTATCCCCCCCTCTCTCTTCCTCACCCCTTCCCGTTTTTTCTCGTGTGGTCTAGGCCCGCAGCACGAAAATTTGTGAGAAAATCAGCCTTAACCACCAAAAAATCAAAATGGCAGTAGCTTATATCTTTTTACCTTTAGGTATGGTATGTGCAGGATTTAGCCTACTTTTACGTTATATTCTGAGGTGTAATTTGATTCACTTGCATGTTTGCGCAAATAAATAAATTTAAAAAAAATAAAAACGTAAAAGTACCCGATTAAATGGAGCCCCTAAAGGATCAATGATCTAAAGGAAGGCGGGGGCTCAGCCTAGGCCCATGAATCAAAGGGCCTCCAAGGCTTTTAGATTCTTGGGCCTCCCAAAACCCGAAATACGAAAAGTGATGAAAGAAGAGAAAATTATTTAGGAATCATTGAGTGGACATGGGAAGGCAGGGGCCCTCCAGCAAACAAAAAGTTAGGAACAGTCCAAGAAAAGTATGGAAAACCCCGAGTTAACAATAAAAATCAAAGGAAGAAGCCCCATCTCGATAAGTAAAGGCCCAAAGTTTGAAACCAAAACTGAGCATCAAAGAGAGAGAGAAAAAAAATTCCGCTGGCCGAGGGCCCCCTAAGCGCCAGGGCCCCCCTGCATAGCAGGGTCTGCGGGGGCGCCCGTTACGCCACTGGACGTGATAATTAATCCAATTTTTGGCATTTTTGGCGCTTCGGGACGATTTTTCTCGAAAATTTGGCAAAGTAGGGAAAAGTTACAAAGCACATTACACATGTGTTTTTTTACGTTCTTTCCGAAAATGCACACGGTTTTTAGATTAAATTAAGTTTCACACACGTAAACTTGAAAAAAAACCCTGAAAATTGGTGAAAATTGGCAACAGTGGACCGTTAGGCCTTTTAAAATTCACAGTAAGCCATTTTTATGGCCAGATGTGAAAAATACAGATAGCACATACCTAGGGAGGGTGACTGAGGTCAAAAAACATTCAAAAGAGCTACCTTCAAGTAAAAAAAGGCCGCTGAAATCGACATCCCAGTCAATTTTCACACCAGGGGAGTCCAGGTACGACTTTAATTTTTTTACATGTTGTATATATAAGTGAGCGCTGTTACGTACGTCAATATAAAAGTTGTACCCCACTTTCTTGAACCTTAAGCGTGGCAATTAATCGAATTTTCGCCATTATTGGCTCTTTGAAACGATTTTTATCGAAAATTTGGCAACGCAGAGAAAAGTTGTACTGAACATTTTTTATTCATTGTTTTGCGTTCTTTTCAAAAACGTATACGGTTTAGAGTTTGAATTGATTTTTGCGTGTGTAAAATTGAAAAACCCCTAAAAATGGGCAAAAATGGCAACAATTGGCCATAAGGCTCTGTTAAATCGTCAGCTGATATTTTTCCAAACCTATTAATATAGAATAAACTCATAGTTGAAAGTTGAATGTGGTCA